TATTGATGAAGCCATATTCCCCAGACAAATTCTGTATTGATAAGAAAGAATTACAGAAAAACAGAAACGGATGAACTATATGTAATAATTTAATATTTTTCTACGTTTATCATGCCACCTAAGTTGTCATACATGAAACTGATAAGCATTTATAATTTGCGTATCACAATTTGAATTCCAATAAGAAAACGACATGTGTTTATTTTTTCTGTCTAATTAAAACATTTCACGAAACAAAGACTTTGCACTGATGGAACCCATTACAAAGACGCTTGGCTAATTATTTTGTTGGCCCTGTGAGCTGAAAATAAAAAAAATATGATATTTCATAGAAATAATATTGATAAATAGAAATACGCATAAGGGATCAGTAGTAGTAGTGGTAGTAGTAGTAGCAGTAGTACTACTAGTAGTAATAGTAGTAGTAGTAATAGTAGTAGTAGTAGTAGTAGTAATAGTAGTAGTAGCAGTAATAGTAGTAGTAGTAGTAATAATAGCAGTAGTAGTAGTAGTAGTAGTAGTAGTAGTAGTAATATTATTCATTACCTTACAGCGAGTCGTCTAACTGAAATAATAACAAGAAGATGTGAATAACATTGTTAAAGCTTTTTAAATACTAAATAAATTTGATAAATCACATTTTGCAATAATATTGGATCAAACAGGTTACGTTGCAAAAGGAAAGATCTTTCCTATGCATCCTGATTTTGATAATATGTATGCATAAACAAATAAATCGTTTAAATAAATAATCTTACTAAGGGGTCCTTCTTATATCTAAATCCTTATTAAAATCATAATTGTTTGTTATCTTATCATTCTTAATTTTCTGCAGTAATAAAAAATATGATAAATATTCAATAATCTCTACAAGATTCGTTTACTTTTAAGAAAGTTAAACCATTAATAAATACTGCGTATAAGATATATATGGTTAAATTAAAGCTGTCACAGAATGATGAGAATTATAAGTAATTCAGTACAAGTATTCGAAGACATCATAAGAAAGTTTAAATCATCCACAACAGTAATTGTAAATATTTTATTTTTTTATCGTTATTATCATTATTTTTTTTTTTGAATTTCTTAGTATTGAGAAAAATCCATCTCTAGATATGTTACCTTTTTTGATTCAAAAATGAAAGTGGATAAGTTTACCTTTATTCTGAACTATTGATGAATCTTTTATACACTAGGACGGATACAGTGGTTCCTACCAACAGAGATACAATAACGACGACGACGGCGATGATAATGGTGTTTGAAATTACATCAGGGCTCTGATTCTGTTCATCAAATGTACTATTCACTGTTCAAAAATTGTATAAATATGAATTCAAGATTATGCGAATGTTTCAGCTATGTACAGTTCGCATTTTCGCGAGTAGATTTTAGTAGAATTCTAAGGGTAGCTCAAATTGAAAGAGTTCAGATCTGGGGCCTCATTTTAAACAGTTTGATTCTACAATACTTAAGGGTGTCTCCATATAAATATGACTATTCATGGTTTTTCTGTTCTTAAGAAAAAAAATTCCAATATAAAACTTTGATCCCCCATTCTGGCCCACTTTACCCCACGGGGCAATGACTTGAACAAACTTGAATCAACACTACCTAGGGATGCTATCTTTAAGATCAATCATGGATTTGCTGTTTAAAAGAGTGTTCCTATGTATTACTGTATTAAACTTTAATCTCGCCCTTTGTGGCCCTACTCTACCACGTGTGGTCATGATTTGAAAAGACTTTTTCTATATAAATATGACCAATTATGGCTTTGCTATTTTTGAGAAGAAGAGTTTTAAAGAATTTTCCAATGTATTTTCATGTAAACTTTTTTGGTCCATTGTGACCCCACCCTACCCCCGGGGTCATGATTTGAACAAACTTGAATCTACACTACCCGAGGATTTTTTTTCCACATAAGTTTAATTTTTTTCCTGGCCCAGAGGTTCTTGAGACGATTTTTAAAAGATGTTATTATTTTGTCACATTTTCCTAACTACTGCAGTATCTCCCATTGAAAAAGTGTAAAGCCTTTCGTTTAAACAAACAAGTATCCAAGGATACTTTGTGGTAAGTTTGGTTGATATTGGCTCAGTGATTCTTAAGAACAAGTCGAAAATGAGAAAAAGTTTACAGATAGACAGATGTAAGCCGGATAAAATTTGAGCAGGAAAGTTCATTTGTGCCTTCGGCTCAGGTGAGCTAAAAATTTAAACATGACTGTGACGTCATGCCCTTGTTCTTGCAGTCTAAAAATTTACCTATATCCGTACGGTAATGAACTAATGATAATTGCCAGTCCAATAATAGATTATGGACGGCAATGATAATAAAATCGGAAAGTATTTTGATAACAACAAATAGAGTGGAATCAGGGTTTAATACCTGGTATGTGCATAAACAAAAAAAAAAAAAAAAAAAATTAAGGATTTGAGGAAGGAATTTTAACCTTTCTAAAATGTAACACTTTCCATTGTTTATTATGCTAAGTGGTTTCCTTACACCACTGTTAACTAATTGAGTGAAACACGAATCTCATTTTTTGTTTGTTTGAGAAACCTGTAGTATAATCTTTCAATCAGTGTAAGTCAACATAAAAAGATAAAAGTAAAATCCTGACCGGAACAGACAAACGGGTATCCCGTCCAGAACTTTCCGTAACATGTGCGTTGTGTGTTCCCAGCAACCTGTTTGTATCCTGAGTTACATCCGTAAGTGCTGACTCCATTACAACCTGTAGAACTTGTGGAAACGTTCACGTTACTGTTTAATTCATGGGTGCACGCGACATCTAGAGAAAAAAAATCATGTATAAGTACATGTTTGATTAAAAAAATATTTAGTTTTATCTCTACTTTTTATTAGCATACACGTTAAAAAAACCTGCATTTTCTGTAAAAGACAGGTATTGGGGCCTGTGGCATACTAATGAAATGAAACATATGGAAATAACAAAGAGTATTCCAGATCAAAAATCCGTACAACAATACAAAATACATGAAATAGGAGCAGAGAAAACACGGACCTCCGAAACATCAGAGGTTGGATCAGGTGCCATAGAGGAGCGAGCAACGCCTGTCAACCGGTCACATCTGCCGTGTGCTTTTTTTCATGCTCAGGAAATATTGAAAAACGTGTAGAACCAGCTACAAGGTATGTAATTCATTTGAATTTTCTCTTAACAGAAAATTCGCTGCTCGACGGGAATAATACTGAAGTAATATGTATATAATAGAAAATATGTAGACTATTGATTCAAAATTCGATTTTTTTTCAAATCAGATTAATTTCTAACGCTATATAAGATTATGGGATGGTGTGCTATTTGGTGGATACATCCATGTTGATTGAAGCGCTAGAAATATTAACGTAAATGTCTTTGGAGATTACTTTTATTATATCTCTTCCGCAAGGCAGTTCATTTAATTGGATGTTTCCCGTAAAAAAATGTATACAGGGTTATTTTCGCCCATTCACACTTGCTGACAATTTTGCCCCATTTTTTATTCGCCCAGTCAAGTTTAATTTAAGAAATTATACTGTATTCTTTGAATTCGCACCGTTTCAAATTCGCCCAAATGAGAGTAGGACGAAAGGTGCGAAAATAAAACGGGGGTGAAAATTTCCCTGTATAAAGTACCTAGATAACAATATTACCTATGCTGCTGCGACGGAATTCGATAGAAATGGTTAATGACACATAGATAGATGATACATAGTATATGCAATATAATTATGAAATAAAATAAACACGGTCAAAAGTCCATGAGAACAATATAGGGTCGTGGCACAACAAAACCTACTGTCAATTAACAATGGTAATTTCCATTCCTATGTCGACACGATATATCCTAGTAAACTTGAGATAAAAGATACAATAGAGTCTTAGACATCTGTTTCACATTTTTACTTGAAAAAGACGTTAATTGTAATTTAATTTTTCTATCGCCAACTTCCCTTATTTATGCAGCAATATACCTTCATCACCAGCATACGGAGTTTACATATCTCATTACATGATTAGATACGCAAGAGCATGGTCTACGTATGAGCAATTTCTAAAACGAAGTAAATTATTGACAAACAAGTTGATAAAACAAGAATTTCAGTAGCCTCTTTTAAAGTCATCATTTCGTAAGTTCTATGGTCGATACAATGACCTTGTCGGCAAATATATTTTATCATTGAGTCAAATACTGACTGAGGCTTTTCTTAGTAATATTGTTAGTCCGTTATTTATATACTGAATTGACGACGGATTTTTCCGTTATTTCCCGATTATGACAAGGTGCACACGGCGGGTGTAACCGGTCGGCAGGGGATGCTCACTCCTCCGTGGCACCTGATCCAACCTCTAATATTTTGGAGGTCCGTGTTTGCTCTGCTCCAATTTTGTATTGTTTTATGGACTTTTGATCTGGAATATTGTTAGTTATCTCCATTTGTGTCACCTGAAATATCAAAGATAAAATCATGTGTTATGGAAGAGTTAGCTTTCCATATCAAACAGACACAGCTACCGTGTGCTCTTTGCTATGATCTGTCAAAAGTATTTCTTAAACCTGTGTGAAAATGATTGCTCAACGATTTTTACAAAAAAAGTTTAGTCAACATTTAACCTATTGGTGCATTTGCAACAATGTTGCTATATCGATCATATAATTTTACAAAATGTCGAATTCCTTTCATCATTAATATATTTGTAAATTTCTTGCATATTTATAAGAAATTGGTAGTACGTGTTCGCTGACCTAGCTCTTGTTTTTCGAATTAACTGAACGGAAAACAAATCCTGCACACACCTATGATTAATACAGATGAAAAAATATTAATATATTTATACAAGTTGTTTTATTTTTTGAATAATATGTCTTTGGTTTTAGGAAGCCACTTTGGTCATAGTGTAGTCAGTAAGCTATTGTTACTTTGGCCAACGATATGGTCCCGAGCCTCTTTTTTTTAAATGGTACTCAACTATTTCTTTTTAGGAAAGCGTAATATCTTAATTTTTAAATTTTTTTTACGTTAACTTTTTTTGAAAGAAAATACATTAACGTCATACCAGTTATGTAAATAAATACATATGTAATATTTTGGTAAGAAAGTTTAAGAGTTGTGAAATTTGTTAAAAATGCGTAAAGAATATACATCAATATACAATTTATTTTACCACTGAGACACTTAACTCACTTTAAAAAAATAAGTATCAAACAAAATGTTCTGGACCTAGACTTTAGTAATAAAGAACGTTTCTTTGATGAATTTGTCTTTCCTCAACGAGAATAAAGAAAAGATAGGTAGAAGGTCCCTCAATCCAGTGCGTTGAGCTTTTCTCAAATTTTTCTCAAATTTAACCCACTTAGAATTTTTTTTTCAAAGTGTGTTGATTTTTGTGTCAAATTCAACGCACTTCAAAGTGCGCTGCCAAGCACCATATGTGTACAATAATAGTATATAAGTAATATGATGGAAAAACTGAAATTATATCGTTTTTCAAATGCTTAAATTGTTAGTTCACTGAAAGAAATACCTAATTACATTGTAATTCAACTTGTGTGCCTAGTAAAGCGTTCGTCATGATATGTAATCATTCTGTTCATTAGCTTAGATAGTGAAAAGTAGAGTAGGGATCGTAGATATACCTAGTGAAAGTTACTTATACATTCTAGATTTACTAATGTTATCGAGTAAATCAACCCAATGTCTAGTAAAACTACTTTTGAGGTAGTGATTGTATGGACGGTAAATTTGCTAGTCTTCTGAGTGACTTTCACTAGTTATTTCTTGTAGTGTTGGACTAAATTAAATCATGTACATAAGAAACAGATGTGTCAGACTCAGTGGAATATACCGAGTCACATATAAATGGAAATAGCTAATGCTTATCAATAAAACGTCGGTAATATATCTGAATGTTCAGCTGAAAATCACGGAAAGTTAACTATAAGGAATTCTGCTTCATATGAGTATTAAACACATATTGGCTATAAACGGAACCTGGTCCTTTTGAAATCTTATTTAACTTTGTACTTCTAAACATTACTTAAATGATGTCAATAAGGAACTATAGAGAAATACATTAAAAAGATAATATTTCTTTGTTTACAAACCGTTTGGAAATCTCCATTCACCGCTTGAACCCCAACCTGTCCTTATATAGATATATTTGACATCAAAAGGAGTGGAACGAGTACAATTCAAGATTATGTTGATGCCGACCGTACCGCCCTCGCCTGCTTGGATATAATTCCCTTCCCATGAAATCCAGAAATTGTCGAAGAAGGTTTGATTCAGAATAGTTTGGGAATATGAATCACATTCAGTACCACCTATACCATACCTGATGACAGATTTGGTATTTGACCATCCCCCATACATGAATTCATAGTGTGTACCACAGTTGTCACAATCGTCGGTACCGATGGCAATCTGAAAGTCATTGTTTGCTCTTGCTCTGAAGGTTAGAAATGTCCTCCCCTCGGCTAGTAAACAACTGGATGTCAGACTGACGTAAGTTCTGTTGTCTGGTGTATTTAAGCTTCTTTCTGAGGAAGCTGTTAAAAAGTGAACTTAAGTTTTTAAATATTCGCAAAAATCAAAATAGTGGAAGTATTCATTTTTTACTATAATATTTTGCTCTTTATAAGCTCTATGTAGATAGTCTTCTAGAAATTCGATGCCAGCAACTCTACTAAAAGACTGTTTTTAAAATGAAAAATAATACCCTTTGTATGTAAATTTGCCAATTTCGGCCTCTGCAATGACACTTGTATGACGAAACATAATAACAGTAATCAAAACTAAAGGTACCACATGTAGCTGGCTGTGAGCCCTGAGGTTGCGAATTGCAAAATTTGTCATATCGTCAATAAATTTATTGTGCCTAAAAACGACCTCTGAGAGTATCATCATAATATTTACATGTACAGCCGATCTGAAGGCAGGATATGGATTGTGACGGAGCTGTTCCGCAACTATACCCCGAATGCTTTTGACACGATTGACTCCTCTGTAGATTTTGTGTTGTGCAGTCAGCTGGGCATGATGACCACGACGACCATGAAGACCAAAGCACTGAAAATACAACACATAAACATACAATACAAAAATTAGTGCATTCAAGATTTAGCACAATGATGCTCATGGGATTCACTTCTCATCATGAATGAAGCTTACACACAGGCCAATAAAATAGATTTAGACATACCATATCCTAACCCTAAGGATCTAACCTTCGTACTTAAATGTGTCTTGGAATACAATTACTTTGAATTTGACGGAAAATATTACAAAAACATTATAGGAGCCAGCATGGGTGCAATCCCAAGTCCAGAGATCTGTGACATCAGAATGTATCAAATCACAGAGCATATAATGGCACAATTCCACCATGCAAGCAAAATTTTCTTCCACGGCAGATACCGTGATGATGGTTTTATAATATTCAATGGAACGCAACCAGAGATAGAAGAATTCTGTAACATTGCCAATCACTGTCACAAGCATCTAAGATTTACATTTGAAATCTTTCCATCGACCTTAACTTCTTCTTGATAGTACAGTTTACAAAGGACTCAAATTTCAAAATTTTAACAAATCTGATATCAAGTCGTTTATCAAACCAACAAATAACTTTCAGTACCTACACAGACAGAGCGCTCATAGCCCAGCTGTGTTTAAAGGATTCATCAAAGGAGAATGCGTTAAAGGACTGTAGTTTAGAGTGTCGGGTCCTAATAAATCTCAAACTAAAGAGCAACTGTTACGTAACCCTAAAGTACTGGTTACTAAATTTAACCCTTGCATTAAAGGACTGAAAAAACGGATTCTGAAATATTGGAATACCATTCTTAGAAATCCAGAATGCACAGCTTCATTCAATTCTAAACCAATTATAGTTTACAGCAAACACAACAACATAGGTGAAGAGATAATCAGGTCTCACCTTAAATGAACATTATGATTTATGTCTGTGACCCCTGATAAGGCTACTTGAGAGCCGAAACACTTTACAACTACTTGCATAATTTAAATCAAAGTAATCTGCATTATGCAAAAACATATCTACTATAAGTGTGGTTTGGAGTGTCGGGTCCTAATAAATCTTTTACAAGTTTGGTTGATTGATGTCGCTAATTTTCACACAGTTCCGCGCACTTTTTAAGCATGATTTTTTGCACAAACTTAGGTCAATTTCTTCTTGTAATAAAAATTAACATTATCGAAATTCAGTACGACAATAGAACCGAACGATATATGATCAATTTCTTAAACGAGGTAAATTAATGACAAACAAGTTGATGAAACAAGAATATCATGTGTGTTTAAAGTCATCATTTCGTAGGTTCGACGGTCGATACAATAATGATCATAGGTAATTACAAAAAAAAAAATCGACATTTTTGATACTCTTTGGTTGAATTTCTAATTTGACTCCTTAAAAATCAGTATTTATCTAAGGAATTTGCTGTTTTACAATTTTTGTCTTCGTTTTGTTGAAATGTAGCGCCGGAAAGGGACTCACAATACTGCAGAAAGAAACCATGCCAAAAGGTGGGAAGAAAGAAGCATTGGCTATCTTTTAATTTTTGAAACATTGAAAATTTTGCAGTGTGACAGATCTCTAATAAAGTTAGATTTCAGAAAAACGTCTTTTAAACATAGAATTCAGTCGAACATATGAGAAATTCTTTTATCATCTTGCGTTATAGAGTCAGTGAGATTAATGTACAGAAAATACAAATAACAGGACCTGTACTGCGTTTGCGTTTAGGCAAAACAAAAAATTATTGATAATCAAGAAAGTATCTTCTTGATACTAGCTTTGCAGGAAAGGCGATTAATTGCAAGAGTTGAAGAAATGGATTATAAAATGAAAATGGTATCCTTAACTAAGTTCATCAACAATTTAATAAAAGACATATTTCTGTTTGTGTTTGTGAAATAAAATTGCAATAAGTAAAACAATCACTTTTAAAATATGTGTTGGTGCCTTGTTGCACAATATTGCATTGTATCAATGTGACATAATTTGTGTGAAACCCAAGTGAGTTTAAAAAGTGCACAAACCTACAAAAGCCCAGAAGGCTCATTCGAGATTCGAGGTTCGAAATACGAGATTCGAAATTCGAGATTCAAAATTCGAGTTTCGAGATTCAAAATCCAGATTAAGCAATCAAAAGCGGGTTCAACATTTGATTACTCCCGTTTATTATGATTTTACTATCAAGAAATCGTTTAATATATTCATAACAAATGAGTCATTTGATTAAATTACAATGCAAGAAAGAGGATTATATATATTAGAAGGAAATTTAAATAATCATTGGATTTTTGATCAGCAAGATATACTTCAATTTATATTATGGCTTCTTAAATATTAAATAGAATACATATATCAGGAGTATATATATTTTTGAATTGTTTTCTTTGTTTCCGGGGTTGATGACATATAAATAAAGTTATGAATAAGTTTCAAGTGTCTAAAGATAAACTATAACCCTACCCCTACCCACCTCGCCTGCCTATTTTTTTCAATCACACTGAAAATGTTACTTTGTAAAACTTGAAGGGCGACGTAGTATTGAAAAACAAAAATCGCGTTCGCTTTCCTGATAGAGGAAATACATAAAAATTAAGTATTTAATTACTTATCTTCATCTAAGGCTTTGATTTCTTGAATTAATTAAAAATCACATATACAATACAGATTTGCAATATGAATTAAAATGAATGCGGCATTTATTTTATTTTATATCAATAGAAGATGAGTCTAAATTAGATGCAGAACTATAGCGTTATGGTTTTAAATTCTAGTCTCTGACCATACCGTTATGACCCAAGACTAAAATGTACTCGTGAAACCTTATAACGCTACAGTTCGATTCAGCAGCCAAGTCTCACTGCACAAATGTACCCTTTATAGATGTAATGAAATATATACCCTTGAATTACTGTGCAGTGTAGAGACGATTCGTAATACTAGTATTTCTTATCTAATTATAATCAAATATAATATTCTCCCTGAAGCAATGATCTGATAAATCAAAATAGTCGACATACTTGTTGCGCAAGTCAACGATAAGACCGTATAATATTCCATATATACGTATTTACTACTTTGTTCAATGAGAAAAATAAAATTATACATGTATTTTTCAAAATGTAATCCAAATTTTATCTTTATTTCGCTTTAATACATAAAACATTTTTTCTTGCATTATCATTTTAGCAAATGACCCATTTGATATAAATATATTCAACGATTTCTTGATAGTAAAAACATAACAAAAGGGAGTAATCAAATGTTGAACCCGCTTCTGATTGGTTAGTTTGGATCTTGAATTTCGAAACTCGAATTTCGAATCTCGTATTTGAAACTTGAATCTCGAATGTCCGAAAGCCCAGAAGGCTCATTCGAGATTCGAGGTTCAAAATACGAGATTCGAAATTCAAGTTTCGAGATTCAAGATCCAGATTAGCCAATCAAAAGCGGGTTCAACATTTGATTACTCCCCTTTATTATGGTTTTACCATCAAGAAATCGTTTAATATATTTATAACAAATGAGACATTTGATTAAATTATAAAGCAAGAAAGATTGTTTTATATATTAAAGGAAATTTAAATAATCATTGGATTTTTGATCAGCAAGATATACTTCAACTTATATTATGACTTTCTAAATATTAAATAAAATACATATATCAGGAGTATATATATTTTTGCATTGTCTGATTTAATAACGGGGTTGATGACACATAAATAAAGATATGGATACATGTAAGTGTCAAATGTCTAACGATTAACACATTCCTACTGTAATAGGGTGATATTTTCTATATATTTATGATTAATAAATGATATCATAGGAATATTGTGTTTCTTGATTTTATTATTATTTCACTTGATCATCATCTACATCATTTACAACATCATCATCATTTTGTATAGATATGAGTTGAAACACAATTGGATACACATTCCTGCATTGCCCTATTCTCCCTTGGTTCTTTTATTGTGCTACACATTGATCATTAGTTGACTTATTCAATTAATGCCTATGGCTATTTTACCTATGTGGTCATTTTCAGACATGTGATTCATGTCATGTGGTTTTAGGAGCCAATAGATTTATATTATGTAGTTTCCCGCTTTTGGTGAACTGCCTTTGTTCATTACAAAGTTAGATTTCTTAGAGGGAAGTCCAATTAATTTGTCAGAGATTGTATCTATATGGAGTCTGCCATATTTAGTAATCTAGAATGACCAGATATACTGACTACTGACAGATAGTAAGTGCACTCTATATTTCATTGTCTTAATTAATTTCTTATTTAATATTTCTGTAAATTATCTAATTTATGCATTTTCTATCATTCATGAGTAAATTCAGTTGATTTGATTGTAAAGTATCTTTCTCTTACTTTTATCATTTGATCTTGGTAATTTACAAATATCAGTTATCAATTTCATTGATGTGACCTGATTATGTATTTTGAAGTTATATAGTTGAATTATTATTTACAGTTGATATGTATTACACCAGACATATTCAGAGAACTATGTTGAGTTAGCCTTGTTCCATAAACAGGTGATTAATTGATAATCATATGTTTTTATTATAGATAAATGTAACATGAAATAGTTGCATTAGAATGTATATATTTGTTCAGAAATATTGTACATGCATAATGTTCATTATCAGAATTAATAGCATCTATTTGTGTATACAAAATAGATGCCTTTATTTTACGAGAAAAGTATATTTGAAGGGACCTATATCCTAGTTTATAGGTCCCAAGAATTTGTTATTTGAACGTTGGCTTTTAAGGGTCGGGTTCGGTTGACACATGAAGTGTAGTATATAAAAGGTCGGGTTTGTTATTCACATTCCTTTCTCCTGAACCTTTCGAAGGTAAAGACGCATAACAATTGCTTGCAATAAAATACATGAAATGTTGTTTTGTAACTTTGAAAAATCATATGATTTTTCATTTATGCATTGTTCTCAACCATTTTAACGCTGTTATTAATATCGATGTGCATAATTATGACGGATGAGATTGGATTCAAACATTTTACAAAGCAGACGACGCGCACGCGGTTATACCAAAAATCGTTTACTTGTGCCTTTGTATTGTTTTACAATGATGTAATGTTGGTTATTAACATTAATAACTTTCTTTTTGTTTCATACTGCTTCGAAACCCGGCAAATCCAAACTAAAGTAGGTCCTATGAAACAACAATAAGGAAACTCGGTCGGACCTTCTCGTGGCATGGACCCAAATACAAGACTAAAAGTCAGAGAAAAGCATAGAAAATTATCTTTATATCGTGGGGAAAACCAGACATAAGTATAAGTATCATCACAGATTCACAGTCCAGTATATCAGGTACATCAATTACCTTTGTATTGCTTTAATAGTTGAGTGTGTATACATGTATAATTGAATTGTCTTTTCCACTGCAGATTGACACAAAATTATAAGCAAAGTCTGTCAG